ATTTGGACCAGCAAAATAGTGTGGATTTTCAGAGTTCACAGAGACCCAGCTACTGTAAAAATAAAACACAGCAGGAAAAAAGTAGAATTGAAGTCTGCAATTTTGATGTGCTGACTGGTGAGTCAGAATTGCTGCAAAGGTTCCACTAGTTGCTGCTATGGAAATTAACAGAGATACAAAACAGACTGGAATTTATTCTAGGCACAGTGGTGAAGCTGTAAAACTGCTCCAAAACTGAATAAGTAGCCCAAACAAATAAGAGGAGCAACCCTATTGCCAATGCTGGGAAACAGTACAACAAGGTCTACTGCATTTGAAACCTCAAGGAGGAGGAGAAAACTCAGGCAGGAGAGACTGCGGATTTTGAAGGTGTAGTTTGAAGATATAATGTCACCAACTGCACATTGTTTAGAATGCCCTTTAGTCCCAGAGTTCCTTCATTTCCTAACAAGGGCAATGGACAACAGCAGTTACCATGGCAACTATTTGCCATGGGAATGACCCTTCCTAGAGATGAAAAGGTATGAGCCAGGTATGAGATGAATAAACAACGCAATTGCGCATGTAGAAGACCTGGTTGACATAAAGAATGTGTGTGCAATGCATGTGTGGAAATTAATGAAAGTGAAAATGATTAGAACTGACACACAGTTTTAAGAATGAAGGATACATGTTGTTGATTACAGGTATTAGGTAACTTAAGTAAGTTGTAGCTACAAATAGAAGTGCATGCATTTTTTTCATGTAAAGAAGATATTTACAGAAATGCATTTGTACATATTGCCTTGCTGGCTTGACATAATGATACAACCTCTACCTCTGCTGTAAGTGCTTTCATTTAGGTTTGCAGCAGCCATTAAAAACATTGCTTGAAAAGTTGTTTTTTTTTAATCATGTAGTGGGATGTAGGGGTCACTGCCTGGGCTAGCATTTATTGCTCATCCCTAGTTTCTCCTTGAGGAGGTGGTAGTGAGCTGCTGTCTTGAACAACTGTAGTCCATGTGCTGTAGGTAGCTCCACAATGCTGTCAGAGAGGGAGTTACAGGATTTTGACGCAATGACAGTGAAGGAAAGGCGATATATTTCTGACTCAGGATAGTGAAAGTAAATGTTGATCTCTAAGAAACAGAGACAGGAAAAATTACCATGGGAATGAGGAAATGACGGAGGCATTGAATAAATATTTTGTGCCTCTCTGTACAGCACAAGACATATAATACATTTCAGAAATGGATGGTATTCTAGGGGCTAAAGGGAGTGAAGAAATTAATATCAATTGAAACAAAATATTGGAGAAAGTTAAGGGACTAACATCCAACAAATCTCCAAGAGCCAGTATCCCACACCCTAGTGTTCTAAAAGGTGTACATGTAGAGATTGTAGTGTGAATCATAGAATCCCTACAGTGTGGAAACAGGCTCTTCGGCCCAAAAAGTCCACGCCAACCCTCAGAAAATCCCACCCAGACCAATCCCGCTATAACCCACCCAATCTACACATCGCTGAACACTACAGGCAATCTTGCATGGCCAATTCTCCTAGCCTGCACATCTTTGGACTGTGGGAGGAAACCGGAGCACCTGGAGGAAACCCATGTAGACGCAGGGAGAATGTGCAAACTCCACACAGACAGTCACCCAAGGGTGGAATCGAACCCTGGTAAATTATAGTGTGTGCTCGCTATAATTTTCCAAAATTCCTTAAATTTGAGAATGGTCCCATCAGATTCAGAGTTAACAGATGTTATACTTTCAAGAAGGTAGGGAGGAGGAAAACAGGGAATTACAGGGCAGTTAGTTGAAAATCAATTGTTCAGAACATGCTGGAATCTACTTTTAAGGCAGTCTTAATGCTTTCCAAAGTCATAGCATTATTAACATAACTTAGCATGATTTTACTGAAGAGCAGTATTGTTTGACATGTTTATTGGAGTTTTTTTGAGAATCTAACTAGTAAGCTTGATAAAAGGGAATGATAGATAGTATACCTGAATTTCCAAAGAGCGTGCATTAAGATGTTGCACAAAACGTTAATAGGCACAACAAGGGCTCATTGGAGTTGGGGGTAATATATTAGTATGGATGGACAAATGATTAGTGGGCAGGAAGAACTGAGTGGGCATACTGGGGCATCTTTAACTTGACAGGTAGTGAATACTGAAGTGCCACAAGGTCAGTGCTGGGGTGTCAGCTATTTACAGCCTATAAGAATAACTTAGATGAAGAGACAAAGAGTAATGTATCTAAGTTTGTTGATACAAAGCTGGGTGGAAATGTGAGCTGTGGGGAGGCTACATAGAGGCTGAAAAGAGATCTATACATGTTAAGGGAGTGGGCAACACAATGCCAAGTGGATTACAATGTAGGGAAGTGTAAAGTTTTCATTTTGGTCAGAAGAATAGAAAACAGACTTTTTTCAAAGGTTTGAAACTTTTTAGGCATTGATTTTCAAAAAGCCTGTGTGTACTTCTGCAAGGTCTGCAGGAAGTTATCGTGCAGATACTGCATGCCATTAAGAAGGCCGGTGGCATGCTGGCCATTGTTGTAAGGAGATTAGAACACAGGAATAAAGAAGTCTTCTTGCATTTGTACAGGATTTTAGTGAGCACATATATGGCATTCTGTAAGCAGTTTTGGTCTCCACATTTAAGAAAAATATACTTGCACTGGAGATGGTACAGTGAAGCTTCGCTTTACTAAATTAGTCCCTGGGATGGGACTATGATGAGAGGTTTAGTAAATTGAACTGATATTTTCTGCTGTTGTGGCATACAAGATGCTTGAAAGATTTGATGCTGAGAAATTACTCCTTCTGGTCAGGGAATCTAAAATCGCACAGCACTGTCTCAGGGCAAAGGGCTGTTCAGTTAGGATTAAGATAAGGAGAAATATCGTCACAAAAGGGTGTAAATCTTTGGAATTTTGTGACCCAGAGCATTGTGGAATCTCCATCAATGAATATGTTTAAGGCTGGAAAGACAGGTTATTGGTCTCTAAGACAATCAAAGGAAAGGGGAGCAGGCAGGAAACTGGAGTTGAAGGCCAAGATTGTATTGACTGCATATGTTAGAACATACTCAATAGGCCATTTGGTATTACCCACTCCTATTTCTTGTGCTCTTGTATGTTATTATCCATATGTATTCAAACAGAAGTCTCTGACTGACAATGGGAGTTGAATTTTATACTCTCCCTTGGGCATGTTGGCAGGTGGAATTGTGGAAAACAAACTGGGTATCATGGGAGCAGCACACCCATTGCCGGCTTATCCTTATCTGGCCCTGGGGAGGTATTTGGACATTGGGTGGGTTGTTGCCTCCACTGGACAACCCAAGTAGCCACTTAAAGGCATCCTCTGCCACCTCCGGGACTTTTTTTTCCAGAAATGGACTAAACCACTGAGTGAAAGCTGGCGGCATGGTGACTACACTAGGGATGCCCATCAAAAAGCCCAAAGGTATTCCTCCCCCGATCCACTCACAGCGTCCAGCCAACCATAGCTCCACACCACTCTCACCAGGGGCAATTAGCATGGCCCCAACAAGAGCGTGAATTTTTGTTTACCAGGATCCATGGCTCCTCTTGCTCAAGGTATTGCCTGCAGTCTCAGCAGTGGCCATTACTTCAGGTGGCACAGCTGGATCAAGAGTTCAGTGGGCCACTTGCTTGGCTGGCACTTCTCAAATGCTGGACTTCCTCTCAGCCAGGGGCAGAGGCTCCCTCTCATAGAGACACAGAGTCCTACAGCACGGAAACAGACCCTTCAGTCCAACTAGTCCAAGCCAACCATGCTCCTGAGCTAAACTAGTCCCAATTGCCTGCATTTGGCACATATCCCTCCAAACCTTTCCTATTCATGTACCTATCCAAATGTCTTTTAAATGTTGTAACTGCACCTGCATCCACCACTTCCTCTGGCAGTTCATTGCACACACGAACTGCTCTCTGTGTAAAGAAGTTGCTCTTCCTATCCTTCTTTCAACTTACTCCTCTCACTTTAAAAATATGCCCCCTAGGTTTGAACTCCCCCACCCTAGGGAAAAGACCCTTGCTATTCACTTTATCTATGTCCTTCTTGATTTTATAAATATCTACAAGGTCAGCCTTCAACCTCCTACGTTATAGGGAAATAGGTCCCAGCCTATTCTGATAACTCAAACCCTCCATTCCTGGCAACATCCTGGCATATCTTTTATGAATCCTCTCCAAGTTAATAATATCTTTCCAATGGCAGGGCAACCAGAACTGCACACAGTCTCAAACTAACTAAAGGCTCAGCAGCTGTTAAATGAGTGCAGGATAAGTCAAACAAGTACATGTGGCTTTTATACCAGGCCTTGTAAAATTCAGCCCAATTATCCTGTCTTCTCTTTCCAGATGCAAAACAAAACGCCACTTGCAACACACTGAACCCTATTGCTGTTGAAATCAGTTACTTTAGCAAAGACCTAAGTTGAATATGGCTTCTTCAGCATCCACATGTAAAGCACTTACCCTGGGCTGATACTTTGTCTTTGTTGCACAGGTAATATCAGGGCAATAAAAATCAGTTGCCTTTTCTGGACAATGGGTGATTTGCTCTTGTAAAACAGTTACAAGTTAAAATGGTTGAACGTCCCAAGGATAATTGTAAGTCACTGCTTTTATGTTATTCATCAGCCACGAATCTTCCTTTTAAGTGAGGCGCAACACTTTCTTTCAGCTATACCATGCTAAGGTAAGGAGAAAATACTAGAAATAGAGATTCTATTTCATTACCAGTGCTGTACCCAATGTCCAATAGATTCTTCAGCAACAGCTAATGGTTTTAGTAGCCAAAGTATATCAAACTAGCAGGAAATTTTATTCAAGGTAAATGTAACCATGCTACTCTAAAAGGTTATACACAGTATGTATTCAGTAGCTCATTCATTTTTGTGACAATACAACATAATGAACACAAATATTTTTAAAGACAGAATCAAGGGCAGAATCTTATATGCATTGAAGTATTGTCCTTACCTTTACATCGTTAACATTCATCCTTGTTCCTTCCTTCCCGACAAAAATGTCATCAATATCCACCAGGATGTACCTTTCCAAAGAGAGTGACAATTTCTTCCCTGAAAGGAAACCGATTGCATCCACAAAAATAAGTTTGTGCAGCCAAAAATTCAGATTGTTGCCAAAGAGAATTCGCTGAATTCCATCATATAGCCCCAGATCCTGAACAACCGTGGCGTGCAGAATTTCTTCCGTGATCGGATGCGGAATGTTTTCAGTGGATCTTGGTTTGGCCAGCAACACAGGCTCGTAGGTAGAGTGATTGGACTGGAACACAGTCCAGTCCTCTCCTGGCAATGGGCCTCTCTCAACTTCTTTAGCTTTGGTGATGTGCAGTAAAGGTGACCGTGGGTTTATACAACAGTCCTTAAGCGCAAGGTTGGTGTGTAAGTTTAAGGGAAAGCCCTTCAGCTGTGAGCTCAATAAACTATTTTCATTAGCTTTGTGGAATGCTATAATGCCAACATTGTATTCCATACAATATTTATCCAGCAGCTCTCTATTCCAGGAGTCCATATTCACATATTTCAAAATGTTTTCATATATAATAAGTGCATATCTTCCCCGGTCCTTGTTTGTAAGGGCAGGGATGTCCCCTTTGCCAGGCGCAATTTCAGTGTGGTGCTGAAAATGGCTTGATTCTAAAATTGCCACAATCTCTTGCCCAAGCTGTGAATATTGACTCTCAACAAACACCAGAGCCATAGGGTCTGCTCTCGATGTGTCAATGGGCTTTGCAGTTTTCATTTCAAACAATCTGTATGGTAGGAGTTTGAGATCTCCACAATCTTGTTCTGGAGTTGGCTTAGAAAGTTCCAGCTCTTGTTTGTAGCCAGAATACAGGTAATAAGCTGATATAATAACACTCACCATGCAAAAGGCGGCTAGTAAGATTACCATCCTTCGCAAATGCCTCCGAAACTTAATGAAAAAATTCATGTTTTGTTTTATCACCTTTTCCAGTTTTTTGTTCCCTTCTATGATTCAACAGAGGGCAGAATACAAACAACTTTTGCCAGGATGTCACCGCAGCTCATGTAACCATTGCAGAAAAAATTACTGTTGTTCTTCATCAAAGCTGACAGGGTGAAGCACTTGGCTCGGCTCTCTTCTGGGTTTCTTCAGCCGATTATACCAAAGATTATTGGTCATATTTAGTTGAATCTGGACATTGTTCCATCTTCCTTTGGAGAAGTACCAAACCTGGGCAGAAGCACCTTCACTGCTGAAAATGTCTGTTAGGAAAAAAGAAGTATTAAAAAAAAAGTTAGGCAGAACAAGCTATTTTGATAAAGCACAAGTACTCCAATTTTTGCCTGATGTAGGCCAATTAGGAACCAGCAAAAGTCTATAAAACACACTTACTCTTCCCACAATATGCCAAAGAGATTACTTTTAACACCAATTTAACTTTACATGCAGTGATTTACCACTATTTTTCCTCAAATTGAGCAATTAAATTGCTTAGTTTTGTAAGGAAGGAAAACAGCATTGCCTTCTGATCATTGTGAAAGTGTTTCCATCAAAGTGCATCCCTTTGAAATTGTACGTTTAAGTGTGTTATTAATGTTTATAAACAATGCCCTTATAAATAAAGTTGCTTTTTTCTCTTTATTTCTCAATTTTTTTTTCAAAGTCAGGCACAAATGTTAGTCCTAACACTTTTTATGAGAAGATATTAATAGAATAAAGAAAATGCACAGCATTAAAGTTACAGCAGGTCACCCACTTGAGGGCATCAGGATTTTAACTACTTTCATTTTTGTCTTAGATGATTCTGACACGAGTAGGTTTTATATATGCTTAATTTCTTCACATAAAGATATGATTAAAGTCATAGACTCATTATGGCATTGATAATGGGGCTTCATTCATGTAAGGAAGACTGCTATTGGAAGATGGGTTGCATGAAGGGAGTTAATATTTGGAGACAAATCAAGCGAGAAGACTGATAATTGTAACTAGGATTAAAACGGATGCTTATCACATGTTTCTCATTTCCCTCATAAATCTTTCAATGATTATTTTTCACATCTAACATCTAACTTTGCTGACCTTGCCCTTCTTTTGAATGATAACCAGACTGCCAATCACAACAGGAATTTAGCTCCTACTTTTTTGTAATTTTTTTCCTCTCCATTAGTATCTATCTCTTAGCACAGATATTTACCCACTTTTGGTAGTGGTCTTGTTTTGTATTTGCTATTTACTCCATATATAATTTGAGCTTTGAGGAAAATAAAGTCGATCATTACTTCTACTTACCAGATCAATCATTCAATAAAATTAAGACAAAATATAGGCCCGGATTTTCCACTGGCCTGAGAATCTTTATTCCAGCACAGATGGGAGTTACAAGTAGTGATCCTGCATATCCCTCATCATAGCCCACTACAAAAAAGTTGCCCAAGAAACTGAAGATTCCGCTGGACAATTCTTCTATGCCTGGAGTAAAAACCGAAAGAACTGCGGATGCTGTAAATCAGGAACAAAAACTAAGTTGCTGGAAAAGCTCAGCAGGTCTGGCAGCATCTGTGAAGGCAAAAAACAGAATTAACGTTTTGGGTCCAGTGACCCTTTCTCAGAACCGGATCACCGGATCCAAAACGTTAACTGTGTTTCTTCCGTCACACACAAACCACCAACAATAATCCCCCAAGAGCTTAAAACTGACATCCATCAGAACCAGACCACCCTTTCCTCAGCTCCACACACAACCACTGCTTCCCTGCTTCTGGAGCTGATATCCTGTCCCCTTTCCTCATTCCATGTCCAACTGCTCCCTTCACCTGCCAATGGATACCTTCATCCCTTCACCCTCTCCACATCTACCTCTCATTCCCCACCACTGACACATTTATCCTTTCCCCTGTCAGAACCACACCCACCCCAGACCTGATTCCCATCCTCCCCATCCCTGCTGGATATGATTTCTCCCATCTATTCTGACCTACCTAAGCTTCACTTACCTGGTCCCCTGACCAATTTGCACCCGAACACTTTACCAACTTAGCAATCAACCCTTTCCTACTTTGCACCATATTCAGCATCCTGCTTACCTGGTGCCCTACTCCATACCCATTTGGCATCCTAATCCCTGGCCCCCTCCCCCTTACCAAGCTGACAGACTATACAGCTAGCACCCTACTTACCTGATCCCTCCCCCACCCTGCCTATCTGCTACATTACTCTCCCAGCACCCCAACATCACGCTAATTTTATACATTATCATTTGACAGCAGCTTTTTAAAAGGAGCTGCCTGTGAATCTAGGCTTTTAAATATCAGAATGCAACAGCTGACTGCTGTGAAAGGGGAGCGTGTTTTGACTCCCCCTAATAGTTCGGGACAAGAAATAACTGTCAGAATGGAAGGACGGCTCCACATTGCTGAAGCAGCCCTTACTGCAAACTCCTTGCACAAATGCAGCTCCCTCCTTTCATAAAAAAGGGAGGAGTGGAGTGGCAATCTGCTGGGACTGCCAGTCCTTGGAAAAATCTGACCCATAGTTTACCAGCTTCACAAAGAGGACTTCAACAATTCCAAATAATAATGTGATGCAATGAACAAGTAATGAACCACAGATTCTTCACAACCTACATGGCAAATAGAGGTTTAAGTATGTTTCCTTTGTCCTGTGATGTATGGGTTGTGAAAAGTATGTACATTTTCTTTCATACAGAAACAGACAGAAGACATGAAACTGCCAAGAGCTACTGCACTGAAGGTGATCTCAACATGACATCCCTGTTACAAGGGCAAAGTAAAGGTTGTTTGGTGTGCATGAGAAACTGAAGAATCCTCAATTCAGATTCATATGAAATGTGGGCATGGTTTTCCCATTTTTTTCTATTAATCGAGGCGCATGCGCTTCGTAGCAATTAACATGTTACCCCCACCAGAGAGGTAATTCACTTGAATATCTCAAAAGAGATGAAGTATCTGGCTTTAACACAGGCCTTACCACTGGTGACATGGGTCACAAGATGGCCTATAAGAGGTGAGCAGCCTCTGGGTCCTAAGGTCTGCTGGTCAAGGCTTCTACTGTGGGGGGGGGGATCCAGTGGGGACAAGGTAAGTTTATTTTAAGTTCTTCACATAGGATTGGGGATTTGGGGAGGGGGTAATTGGTGACAACAACAGGGAGGTGCCCATTGTTTCCCAGTTGAGGCGCTAGCCCACTGGGTAGACAGACGATTGTGGAGGCAGTGAGATGAGGCCCTTATATGGTTTTTAACTCACCACTTAAAAGCCTTGATGGCAAGTCAAGAAAGTTGCCCATGGACCTTCTCCAAAAATCCTAACTGTAGAGGTAGTGAGAAGGGAGTGAGGGTAAACTCATCCAATTATTTCCCTTTCTTTCTACGTCTCTCACCACCTCCGAAGATGGCAAAATTCTGCCCAAAACCGCACTGCCAGCCCCATTTCCAAATTTCCATCTGAGCTTTCAATAAAGTATAAATATTTCCAGATTCTGAAGGAAGTATTTCTATATTTTCCCATCACAGTCAGCTGACTTGGACAACTAAGTTAAATGCGTCTCATGACAACTATTTAAAAGCAATCTGCTATTTACATTCATTTCTGTCATCAAGCACCAAATTCAATAATCCTCCTTATAAATGTAAGAGGGAGGGAAACAGACACAATATTAAGGAAAGACAGGCCAGATATAGTAACCGTTCAAAGTCCATTAAACCCTTGTAATAAATCACTCTGACATTCCTGTTCACTCAGGAGTCACTTGGTAAAATTTTCTTCTGTGAGCCCTGTGTAAGGAAACCATAAAACTGATGATAATGACTTGGTCCAAGATATGGTTACAAAGAAACGCTGATTTCGCAAGTGAGCAATCTGAGTAAAGAATGCTTCCTGCAGGGAACGCAGGTAGGGAAATACATTTTGACAACTTCTTTGCCAGTTTTTTTTTCACGTGAACACCATTTCATGCTGGGAGTCCTCAACTGCAGAAACTGCCTGATAAAAGACAAATTAAATCGTCAGCAGAACATTGGAAGGCCTCAACACTGACTTCAGCCTTATGCAGGCTCAAGGTATCAAGTCAAATACACAGAAGGAAATGGTCTGCTGATTGCTCCCTACCACCATCCCACAACTGGTGAATCAATATCTCCTTCAGATGAAATCCTGTTTGGAGAAAGCACTGACTGTAACCGGGTTTTATCTCCTCTCACTCAAAAGCATCACTGCCAGATCGAGGAACTTACAATTGAAAAGGTGGGGAGGGAGACAGTAACAGCCATACCCCTTCCCTTCTTGCCACCCACCTCCAACAATCTCCCTGCAGGCCTTCCCACCCTCGTCCCACATTACTCAGCTGTGGTCTAAGTCACTCCATAATCTTGGAATTCCGGTGCCTGTCCCTCCACCAGCAGCTTTCACTTCCCCAGTCGTGCTGTTGAGCATAAGATATTGCCTGCTGCTAGCCTCACTACTGTTTGACTGACTTACTTGATTTGATTGGATTTATTTTTAATCACATGTACCGTGATACAGTGAAAAATATTGTTTTGCATGCTATTCAGACAAATCGTGCCTTTAATAAGTACACCAGGGTAATAGAACAGACTACAGTATATAGTGTTACAGTTACAGAGAAGGTGCATAAAAAGATCAACTCTAATATACGAGAGGTCCATTCCTAAGTCTGATAACAGCGGGGGAGAAGCTGTTCTTGAATCACGCATTTTCAAATTTTTCTATCTTCTGCCCAATAGAAGAGGGTGGAAGAGGGTATAACTGGGTGGGAGGGGTCTCTGACCCCGAGGTAGTGAGAAGTGTAGGCCGAGTCAAGGACATGTAGGCCGCGTCATGGACGTGTAGGCCGCGTCAAGGACGTGTAGGCTGAGTCATGGAAGGATGCCTGGTTTTTGTGATGGACTGGGCCACATTTACAACTCTCTGTAACTTCTTGCGGTCTTGGGTGGAGCAGTTGCCATACCAAGCTGTGATGCATCTGGATAGGATGCATTCTATCGAGCATCTATAAAAATTGGTAAAAGTTATTGTGGACATGCCGAATTTCCTTAGCCTTCAGAGGAAGTAAAGACATTAGTGTGCTTTCTTGACCATTGCATCAACATCCATGGTTCAGCAAACCTTCATGGAATGAGGCAACAGAGATCCACCACCTTCCTTTGTATTGTGCGGCACTAGAAACTTCCAAACTTGAACAATGTCAGAACAGTGGTCAAAACTGGGCATCCACAAGGTTA